GGTGTTCCAGTGCTGCCTGAAGGCTGCTTGAAGTCACATTGGTAACTCTGCAGGTGCAATTCACACCTTACTTAAAAAGGTGTTTTTTAATCCCTTTTTTAAAGGGATTAACTTAATTTTATCTTGGAGTGATATCCATTTCCAAACACATCAGGGAAAAAAAAATCCACAGCTCTAACCCTCCTCTTCCAGTCCTCATCAGCTGGAGTTGCCATATTTAGAGCATCATTTTTAGGATCAATACTGTTAATAGCAAACATTAGGAGGTGAACAGCCTGTGTTGTTATGGCAAAGCACTGGAGAAAAGCTTCCCTCTAGAAGAAACAATGGCTTCAGAGAATATAAAATGAAGGAAGAAGGTAGGAAATGAACTCTAAAAGCACTTCTAGAGAAAATGGAAATGGTTTTATAAAGCACTTGCCTCTCTTCCAGAATGATCAGGTACTCTGCAAGCTGAAATTAGTGTTGTCTTCTATTCAAGTCCATGTGCAATGTCTAAATGACAATGCAAGAGTCATTCCTGGGTCTGGTTGAGTAACTCATGCTACCCCAACACTAGTCACAGGCTCCAGGCTAAGCTGGACTTGTTTAGTCCTGGTTTAAGCAGCAAAGTGCAGAGATTTTGCTTCTCTAGAGCCTCACTGAGCTGCAGTGAACTGAGTTTGAGCAGCCTGAAATGCAGTAAGTTAGCAGCTCTTCATGGGGTTTTTTTTTGGCTAGTAAATCCTGGTTTTTATTCTGGTACATCCAGGTTTTGTAGATCCTTCTTTGGGGACTTTGGATGGAGAAAATCTTGGAATGTGCAAGTTCTTCATAGAAAATGTAATGATTTCTGGCAGAATAGGCAGCTGTGGTGTCAGCTGGGCATGTGTCTTGGTTCTGCTTGTAGGAGACTCTGCTGTGGAGGGCTGGAGTTCACAGATAAGTGTCTGAATAAGCAGCTCCACACCTCTAGTTTGATAACTGCTCATGAAACACCTTTAGCAAACTCGAGGCAAAAATGGGGATGGGAAGGACATAGATGGACAGTGCCTCTTTCCCACCCTCATCCCTTCCAAGCCATGCTCAGCTCAGGGCAAATCCAGGAAGAGCAGACGTGGGGCAGACCTGAGGCTTGCCCAGCCCATGCAGTGTGGACCCAACGTGGCACAGCAGAAGTTACCAGCACCTGTTTTGGGGAGAATCAACCATGACACATCTCTGTCAACTGTTATCTTGGAAACGTTCCCTAGATCAAAGTAGGGATGTCCTCCTGGAACACAGGAATCTGTAGCTGCCATGCACTAGTCTTTAGACTTGCTTGATTTCATCACTAACTCGTTGACCAAACCAGGCCATGACTTGAGGACATCATCTTTGGTTAGATCTGGCAGCTGAGACCCTGCAGCAGCTGCAGGTCTGAGCTCCACCAGAGCGTTGGGACCATCAAAAGGAGTGGAGATAGGGTGGGTCCCATCTTACCTTCACTGCTTTTAGAGCTTTTAGGTTCTTTAGCAAAGTTTTTCTTGGTGAAAAGCTCACTTTACCTGCTCTGCAGTTGGGACTGAGTTGGGTTTTTTTAGAATTTTTTGAAATTTAGTATTTTTTTGTTCTTAAATGGTTGACAGAAGAGGGGGAACATTATTTCCTGGCAGTCTGCTCCAGCCCTGAGTAGCCTGAGATATTGAGGGTGAGATTTTACAACTTGTGGGAAGTATTTCTGGTCCAATAGTTGAGTATTTGGTGATGCCCATGAAGGTGAGGCAAAGTGCCAGCCCTCAGCCAGCACATCTGCAGTAAGTTCTGCTGGCAGTGCTCCAGGCTTCACCACTTCCCTTGAAAACCTTGAAGAAACCACATTGGCCTGTGACCCAAATGGCTGAATTTCAGAGCAGGCAGCAAGTGAAGTGAGTGCTGCAGGGGCTGCTTGCCCTTGGGGGTTGATCTTGTCAAGGCTGAGGCAGTTGGTGATGTCCACTATCAGGATTCATCAGCATTTCTCTCTGCAGACCCCTGGTGATGTTTTCCTGTTCTTTCCTTCAGGGCAGAGTAAACACTGAGCCCTAGGAGAAAGCAAACTGTGAGTTACCATGAGGATAACCCTGAGGCACAGCCCAAAATGTTACAGATCAGTAGAGCCACGGGTCCTACAAACAGCTCAACTTTTGTTGTAGCCCCAGTGGATAGAATCTGCTCTCCAGGGCACAGCAGGTTTCCTCTGCAGCTCTCCAGCAGCTTGTGTCCTCTTTATCTCAATGACCTGGCTATCAGAGGCTTTGCTTGGAAGGTGGATGATCACTGTGTGCTCCAGGAGGGGTTAACTTGAGGAGCACCCAACAGATCTTAGCAAATGCCAGACTTTGTCTTCTTAACCATGGGCTGTGCTTGGCGTGGCCCTCAGCACCTGGAGGAAGACTTGGGAGGTTCTGCTGTTTGCAGAACCTGTCCTAGGCTGGGGTGTGATTACTTCAGACAATTGGTGCTACTCCACCTTCCTTTGGCCAAAGCTCCAGAACAGGCAGGAGAAGTCAAATAGGAGAAGAAAACAATCTTAGAGGTCAGGCTGTTTCGTTTTGCCCAACTTGGCCTTGGCTTCTGGCCAGCTTTTTACATAAAACACGTGCCTTGTGCTCTGCTTTCTTTTCTGACTTGATGAACATTGTGATATGGTGCTTTATATTAAAAAAAAAACCCCAAAGATGAAGCATGTTCTTAGCAGTTGGCTCTGTCATCTTCAAAATCTCAGTGCTGAGGCAGTTTGAAGTCAGTGGAGGACACGTCAGTTGTTCAGGATTTATGAGAGCTCTGCAATTTATTTTCCAAAGTAGGAAATAAATCTTGAATCTTGGGAAAAAAAACCTGCTCTTCCTGAAGGATGGAATGAACTTTCTGAAAATGATGGAGCCCTGCCATCCTTGTGTGAAGAGCTAATGCTCCTCTGTGAGCTGAGGTGATCTTGATCTTGCCTGGTGGAGTTGGCAGAACAGTGCTTCTAAGGGGGGATTTGGAACCAAATGTCCTGCCCAACGTTTGGAAACTCCTCTTTGGGGGTTTAGCAGCAGAACCTGCTGGTGAGGCTGTATCCTCATGTCATTAAGGACACCACTTAGTCAAATACATGTATTTTTAAGTGAGGCTCTTCTCCCCATCGTTGCTGTTATCTGGGGAATGGTGAGTGGCAGGAGGAGGAGACTGCTTGGTGGCTGAAGGACCCACTTCAAGGGCTTGGGACTGTTTGCAGAGACCATGTCCAAATGGATTGAAGAGGTGATAATGGGCTCTTGATCTTGCTTAAGCTGGCAAAGTGGCTTTGATTTGATGGTAGGTTATTTGAACTCAATTTGCCTCTGTTTCCTTCTAAAATAGCCCTGGCTTTTCTAGAGCAAGCCTTGAAAAAGG